GTGCCGGGCAGGCTGATCCTGTTCACAGGAGGGCGAAGGAGGAAGAGGAGAAAGAGCAGTAGACATGGGACTGGTCTGGACCAAGAGCCCAGGGCCCGTGGGCCAGCACCGGAGGAGCTCACCCACACTGACCTTCAGGCTTGGGCTTGCCCAAGACACGCAGCACCTCAGCATTGGTGGGGTTCTGGCCCAGGGCCCGCAGCACATCCCCGCACTGTCCATAAGTGATCTTCATCTCTCCAGTTGGAGTCCGATCAAACAATGAGAAGGCCTCTTTGAACTCTGCAGAGAGAAGACTTCAACCTAGTGGAGAAGAACTGATCAGCCTCCCACGGGGCTGAACAGCTGGTCAACAGGCTAGTTAAAACATTTCAGTAATTCTCCTCCACCACCCATCCCAGTCCCTCTCTGCAGCCCACCCTTACCCCACCTTCTGAGAGCGAGAAGAGCCTGACCCAACCCTGGTCTCCAAACTGGCCTTCAGCACGGGGCCTCTCCAGGAACCTCATGTGATCAGTCCATTGTTAGAGCATTTTAATGTCTTCCCTGACTCCACCCCTCCCAGTCCATCCATCCCTCCCTCCCTGGAGCATATGAGACTCCTGACTGCTGGAAAGGTCAGGAAGTATGGGGTAGTGGGTGACGCATGGGGCCGTTCACCGAAAAGTCAGCAGCTGTGAACCACAAGCTACCCCACAGGAGAAAGATGGGGCTTTCGACTCACGTAAAGAGCTGCGGTCTTGGAAGCACACAGGGGACGCTTCTCCCCTGTCCTATAGGGATAGGTCACTATGAGTCAGATAGGTCATTATGAGTCGGATAGGTCATTATGAGTCGCCATCTACTCGCTGGCAGTGAGTTTGGGATTTGGGGTCATGTTTCATGTTGAGTCAAGAGCTTTGGACCAGGAGGCAGGAGCCCTGGGTCCTCATCTTGGCTCTGCCCAAACGAGCTGCCGCTGGTCCTTGCGCAAACATCACAAATGGCAGCTCCGCCTCCGCTGAGCTCCCGAGTGTCCAACGAGGTGGCAGGAGAGGGAAGCGCTTTGCAAAGTCACAAGACCCGTTAGAGTTACCAGTTGTCGGTGGTATTGCCTTTTCCAGGCAAAACAATGAGGCGGCCTCAGAGCCGAACCATCCACCTCTGCCACTGACCGCAGGTGGCTTTGGCTAACTACTGACCTCACTGCGCCCTTCTTTATTAGCGGTGAGTGGGGTGACAATGTCCACCCGAGAAGGTTGTTGAGCAGATTTTACAGGGGACCGAGCAACTACTCAACCAAAGCAGTTCTCAACCTGTGGATCGCAACCCCTTTGGGGGTCAAACGACACTTTCAAGGGGGTTGCCCAATTCATAACAGTAACAAAATGACAGTGATGAAGTAGCAACGAAAATGATTTTATGGTTGGGGGGGGTCACCACCAGATGAGGAACTGTATGAAAGGGTCACAGCATGAGGAAGGTTGAGAACCACTCTGGAGCCAGCTCAGAACTATAGGCGCTGGATTTCCTGGAGCTCCCAGGGCAGGTGTTCAAGGGCAAGGGCAAATTGGAGACCTTACTAGGCCTTTTGCAAAGAGCCTTGTTTCCTCATGATATTGGCCTCAGCCAACTCTCTCCTGGGGAGAATTTGGACTGGAATAGTATTGAAGTTGCCTTAACAGGGGTGCTCAATACGTTGATTGCGATCTACTAGTTGATCGCAAATGTAGAGTGGGCTGATCGCCTGGCATTAAAAAACTAGACCTAAGCCTATCATCAACCCTGTCACTTAACTGATATACAGCGCAGCCAATCAGATGCAATCTTGGGTGTCAAACGCATGCACAAATAACTGCGCTAAGTGCAGCAAACTGACAAGTTGTTATCGCCAATTTTTAGACCTTGGGTGTTTTCTCTTAAATGTAAGAAAGGGTATTAAAATGAGTGGGGGAGCCGGACAAAGTAAGAAGACAAAAATGTATCACTTTTATACGGAATGGGAGATTTTTAAACTACAAGTTGACATTCAGCTGAAGTCCAGAGCACATGAACAGTTCTGGAACTTACTTGCAGAGGGAAAGTACCCAAACATGAGAAGATGTGCTACCTCCTTGACTGCATTATTCGGCTCTACTTATTTATGTGAGTCAGCCTTTTCCCACACCAAGATCATTAAGTCCAAGTACTGTTCCCCCATAACTGATGATCATTTGGAAGTGTGTTTGAGGCTGGCTGTCTACAGCTACTGTCCGGACTATGCATCCCTGGCTCATTCCATTCAATACAAGTCATCAGAGTAAACTCAAGTAATGACAAAAAATGTACATAGTTAATTGTGTTGTGTTGTGCAATATGGACTCATGCGGTTCTGCAAGGTACATACGCATACATTGTACATAGAAAGAATTCTCAATGCGTTTATGAAAAAATAAAAATAAATATATGTTTTGCATTTTTGTAGTTGGTAGATCATTTTGACTTGATCATTTTATAAGTAGCTCGCATGCTGAAAAACGGTGTGCACCCCTGCCTTACGCTATTCACAAAGAAGTGTTTTTGCTAAGCAGGTTAACAATTTCAATCAAAGAAGAATGTTTGAACTACTTATGAGAAAAGCTGTTTTAAAGCCTCTACAAATACTTTAGAAACACTTTTTTTCTAAATGGTTATATATGGATTTTTACAAATCTTTCTATGTATCAAAGCAGGTTCCCCCAAAACTTCGACTTTCTATTAGACTTTGTATGCCTTTTGAATACATTAAACTCTATGACTTTCCAATTATTAAATAACTGAGCTCAAATTCTATTTCCATTGCTAACTAGCTGTGTGTGGTCTTGAGGAAGCAAATATTTAACTTCTCTAAACCTTTTCTCTTCTCTAAATGACTCCTCTCCCATAGGGTCCTCGTGAGAATTAAATGTAATAATGTATGTAAAAACCTGTTATTGTTATCTTACTGAGTTGTCTGCAGATCTTACCACCTGACTGAGACACCTGGGCTGTCACCTACCCTTATGGAGCCTTGATTTCCTGATCTATGAAAAGCAAATAACACCAACCGCTAGCCTTGTTATAAGGATTTCGTTTCTTTTCCCTTGTAATTAGCCCTCCATCTGACACAAATTTATTATTCAGTACATGTACGTTGTTGGTTGAAAATGAACTCAGACTTTCCTATCTTCTAGGGTTTATTCAGCAGAGTGAGGACAGCTTTACAGCACAAGGGAAGTTTCCTCATAAAGTAGTTATGATTATACTTAATAGATGGGTGATGACCTGTGATTTTAGCATTTACAGGGAGCCAGACTCTGAGCTGATAATTTTATGTGGGATTATATCATTATCCCATACAATAATCTTGCACTCTAGCTAGTATGTTGCTCATTTGTCAGCCGATGCAGACGTGACTCCTGCCCTAATGAAACCACCTATGTCTTTCTTAGAGAGATGCTGTGGGGGAGGGAGGGAGTAACCTGCTGCACCGCCTAATGCTCCAACCTGTTGTCCAGCTTGCTGGGAAGCTTGGTTTGTACAGAGATCAAACACTGAAGTTAAGGGACAGAGAGAGAGGAAGGAAGGAAGGAATGAAGGAAGGAAGGAAGGAAGGAAGGAAGGAAGGAAGGAAGGAAGGAAGGAAGGAAGAGTTGCTATCAAGTGGATTCCACTCATGCCACACCATGCTTTGCAGAGCAGAGCTGCTCTCGGCAGGTTTTCATGGCAGAGATCTCTTGGAGACAGATCTCCAGGCCTGTCTTTGAGGCACCTCTGAGGGGGTCCTAATCGATAACCTTCCAGTGAGTAGTTGAGCAATTCACCTTTTGCACCACCCATGCAGCCTTGAATTGGTGTGACCCTGAAGTGTGTTAGAGGAAACATGATGTTCACAGGCCCAAAAGAAGCCTCTCATGGGGAATCTGCAGCAGGCACACCTGCTTACTAGGGTGAGGTAGTTAGTTTATTGTGCCAACCTGGCCGATAAACACATGTGGGGTTCATTGAAGGGCGGAGGGATAAATAGCTCAGTGAGCCTAACCTTTCTAGTTCTTGGGTCTCTTGCTTTGTGATGGTCGGACCAGGGTGCAGTTGCCTTAGCAAGTTCCCTGCTTCAGCTGGCAAAGCTCACTTCCTGCAGGACATCCCTGAGGAGAAGCTGAATGGACCTACCCTGATGCAGCCCTGGGTGCTGGAGCACCCATGTGGAGACCCCTGCCAGCCCTGAGATGCTTACACATTCACTGATTCGGCTTTCCTCCTGCAGTCGGCATCATTACGTCTGTTTTGTGAGATGGAGGAGGACTTTGTGGATTGGTGTGGACATATGGGTTAATGGGTTAATGTTGGACTTGTGGGCTTGGGCAGCACTGGGTTGGGATATTTTCTTGATGCACACTTAACCTTTATATAAAACTCTTACACATGAGTTTCTGTGGATTTGTTTCTCTAAAGTACCCAGACTAACACATAGGGCAGTGAGTCTAGTAGAGCCAACGCCTTTCTAGGAAACTTTGGAAATCTGAAGAGGGACCAGCGAAGGCAACCAAGAGTTAGAAGCTTAGCGCCTTTGAGAGGAAAGCATGCGAGAAAATGGAGCTCTGCTGTGTGGCGAATATAAAGCTAAGAAGTGATTGGCTAACTATCTTCCAATGGATGGAGGTCATTTAGAGTAGGGGTGTCAAACTGGTGGCCCACCCCAGAGATAATTTTTGTGGCCCACGATGCTCTGAAATAAAATGAAAATAGAAAAAAAGTGTTATGAAGAAAATAGCGCTTAGGGGAGATTGAGGCAATACCGTACACACAATTCCCTCATTACATTTTATTTTAGAGCATCATGTGCTACAAAAAATTACCTCAGGGGCTGCATGCAGCCCATGGGCTGCCAGTTTGAACTCCTGATCTAGAGGATGCTAAATAGAGGTATGGGATTTCTGAGTTGGAATGAATGAACTCCTTCACAAATAAGAAAATGAAGATTTAAGGAAGTCAAATGACTTGGGCACAAAGTCTCAAGGCCGAATAGTGGCAAGATTAGAGCTAATCCTAAAGCTCTCTGATTCCGAAATGGTGTTCTGTCCACCAGGTCATGCGTTTGAATCCTGGCTCTACCTTGGACTGTGTGAGACCGGGCAAGCCAGCTGTGGTAGTCACCTAATCTGGTATCAATTTAAGGATTAAGAATGTAGGGGGTGGAGTCTAGGCTGTCAATCTGGAGATAGCCAATGAGACTTCTGTGTGGGCAAGGCCTTCTCCTGAGAATTCTGGGAAATCTGGTACTTCCTCCTTGGAGGAGGAAGACACTGCTCGCTCTCTCTCTCTCTCTGCTGTTCCCTGGGAGACATTGCAGAAGACAAGCCACATGGATGAAACCAGACCTCTGAAGCCAGAGAAGCCACAGAGACCCCTGCCAGCCCTGAGATGCTTACAACGCCACTGGATCCAGACTTTCTACCCACTTGCTTGTGATCGTCCTGCATTTGGCTTCATTGCATGTGTCTCTTGAGTCTAAAGAGGACTTTATAGATTGGTATCAGACATATGGGCTAATATCAAACTTATGGACCTGATCTGGACTGGGCTGGGATGTTTTCTTAATGTTCAATTGCTCTTGTATATAAATATCTCGTTTATATATATATATAGGCCTGTCAATGGATTTGTTTCTCTAGTCTAACCAGACTAACACACCAGCCAATCTTTCTGTGCCTGCGTTTTCTCCCCAGTGAAAGTGAGAGGGTCGATGGTCCCTGTCTCGGAGTTGGGGTGAGGGTTAGGTGATTTCCTCCACGTCACGGGCTGGGACTGCCTGGCACATAACGGGTGCTCGATATCACTGCTGTGACTCACTGAGACGGCTATGGCTCCAGAAAGACAATAGAGCGGAGGCTAGTACTCACCTTCGATCTGGTCCGCAGAGAAGTCTATCTGTAGGAGAGGAAAACACAGGTGAGACGGCTGGAGCTGCGAATGGTTCCCCCGAAAGAAGTGCCTTCCACTGCCATTTCCAGCAGGAGGCCTCCCGCTACGCGTAAAACACCAAACTACTGAAAATGGGGCCACGATGGACAGGCTATCAAATAATACAGCCTCCGAGCGACCTGGTCAGCACTTGTTAAGTGATTGTCACTTGTTGGGTGAAGGGGGAAAGAGAAAAGGAGAAATAACTCTACTTTGATAGCACTAGAGACCACCCTGACTCCCTATCACCAATCCTCCTGGTCCAGTGTAAATGTCTCCTCCCGGTGGCACGTTCTGTCTCGCCCAATTCCATAACCCTCCAACCTCCTCGCGCTTTCATGGCCACCACTCCCCATCTGATAACATGTCCAAAGTACGTAAGACTGGTTCTCAACCGGCCTCATGCCACGACCCTTTCATACAGTTCCTCAGGTGGTGGTGACCCCCACCCCCGCCCAACCATAACATTATTTTCGTTGCTACTTCATAACTACAATTTTGCTACTGTTAGGAATCAGGCGACCCCTGTGAAAGGGTTGTTCGACTCCCAAAGGGGTCAAGACCCACAGGTTGAGAACTGCTGAGAGGAAGTCTTGGCAAGAAGACCCTCAGGGAGATAGACTGACTCAGTCATGAGGATGGGAACCATTGTGAGGAGGGGGCTGGGTCCTCTGCTGTGCAAGAGGTTGCCGTGGGTCAAAACAGACTGGCTGGCACCTTCCCTCTCCGAGAACTCCTTTTTCTACTCAGAGGACCAAAGTGAATTTAATCCCAATGTATGTGGGCTTAAGCTCTTAGCTCACCTTCTTTAATGAAGGCTTGCCCCACCCGTCCCTCCACTCTGCTCCCTCCGTCAGCACAAGCCCCTCTTAAGCACGCTTGGGCAGCAAAGCCGTTTTGCATGGGCCCTCAGCCCTTCATCACAACTGCTCTCTCACGTGCGCTCATGTGAAGGCGTCTTACTGGCACAGAGAGTTGTGACATTGAACCACTAACTGCAAGAGCGGCTGTTCAAACCCATCAGCTGCTCCTGGGAGGGAGGGAGGGAGGGAGTGAGTGTGTGTGTGTGTGTGTGTGTGTGTGTGTGTGTGTGTGTGTCAGTGGGGAGGGGGGACGAGGATGAGTCTTTCTACTCCTGTAAAGATTTTCAGCCTCAGAATCCCTCGGAGCAGTTCTTTTCCATCCTATGGGGTCTCTGGGTGTCAGAATCAACTGGATGTGAGTGAGTGAGTGAGTTCATGGGGCCTCTGGGTCCCTGAAGCCAGGGTGTTGTGTTGTGTTGTGGAGCGCTGGTGCCTGGTACACAGTAGGTATATCTGATAAATAATCGTTGGATGAAGGAATCCATTTTGGACTCCTCCCTCTCGTGCGTAATAATAAAACAGAAGAAGACCGTGGGAGGTTCTGAAAATAAGTGAGGGATAAACCCAGGTGAGCTGGTATTTCAGTGATGTTCCTCACTGTCCTTATCTCCTCTCCCACCCCTGACCTCTCTCCACTGGGGTCATGGGACATCTTCTCACACCCCCTTCCTTAGTCCTTATTCTACTGCGTGTCCTCTAGCCAGCCATCCCCCACCCCGTGTCCCAGGCTGTCTGCCACGGGTGAGGACACCGGAGCGGCTGGCACTCGCCAGGAGGGAGGGAGAAAGAGGCTGTGGGAGGCGGGGAAGGAAACTAGCTATGCCCAGGAGCGGACTTGCCTAAAGAAAGGGGGAGAAGGTGGGGGAGCTGAAGGAAAATCCTAAGGAGCCCAGGAAAGGAATGCTTTGATCACAGAAGGAGGAGGAGGAAGTAGAAGAGGAGGAAGAGGAAGAGGAAGAGGAGGCTTTGAATAAACTCTGAGGAAAAAGGTGCACTTTGCCTTACTTTGTAATACTGTAAGCGTTCAAGAGAAATTAGTATTAAAAACAAAACATAAAATCAGCACATATAAGGGGGCTTCCAAAAGTTTGTGGGAAAGGGGAATTCAATGGGAACTTTTGGAAGCCCCTTATGTGCTCATAACCACACAGATTGGGCTTCAATTCACTTCTGTCCTATCTCTGAGCAAAGAATCTTCTGGACAAAGGGACGAAACAAGGTTTCCAGGAGAGGTGCCTTTTGATGTTCCCTTTTTCCCTCTTTAAGACAACCTTCCATCCCCAGGAGCAGAAGACCCAGACCTGGTCACGAGGATGGTGACAGAGACGAGAAGTTGAGGAAGGGGTGGGTGGAAGGGGTGACAGGTTAAGGGCAGGGCACAGTCCAGGTGCCACCATGGGGCTGTCGGCTGGCCTCCAGGGACCAGGTCTGCCGGCAGCTGTCTCACTGGAGTGTTGTTTCCTCAGGACCAATAAGAAACCAAACCTAGAAAAGAGCCTGAGGGGTGGAGAGGGCCAGCCTTTCTTGCCAGGCTCTGCCCATAGAGTAAGGTGACCAGATTTTAACATTGGTAAAGCGGGACACCAGCGGGAAACCATTGATGAAACTAACATCCTGGCGAAATAGCCACTTGGCAGGTGAAAACCGTGTACCCTAGCTTGTGAATTCTTTCCAAAAATCAAGCCTTTTTTAAAACGCTGCGGGATGCGGGACAGATTGTTAAAAATCGGAACTGTCCGGCCAAAAGCGGGACCTCTGGTCACCTTACCATAGAGGGACTCATTGAGGACCTGGGAGAACTTTCCGGGTCTCTGTCGCCCCTCAGCGTGCCATAAGCCAGCCATTGGTTGAGCAAGCTATGGGGCACCTGCCTCCATCTCGTGGCCAGTCCAGCTTAGCTTAACTCCTGTCCTTGGTAGAGGATTACCGTGGCTCCGCCGCCCGTCCCCCTGTTACAACAATCACCTAGTCCCTGATGGGGTGCAGACAGCCCTCGGTTTTCATCTCCCTGGTCCTGGACTCCGACTTCATTCTCCACCACCCCCAGCCCTGCTCCGAGGCTGACATTCCCAAGGGCCCACCACTCCCAGCCTGTTATTAATAGTCCTTCACACCCGTGGCCACTTGACCTCTCGTTCTAGATCCAAGGCTTAAAACGGCTTCATTCTCCAGAGGCCTCCACCGCCCCCCTCCTAGAACTGCCCCTCCTCGCTTCCCTCCTTCAGCAGCTGGGGCACATAGCTGAGAGGCCTAACGTGACTCGGTCCTCAGGCAGGGGTGGCACCAGCTCCAGGCTGAGGACTGCTTCCACGTGAAGGCAGACAGGGATCGAGAAGGCAGAGGCCGAGCCTCCCTCCTTCACCAGTTAAGAGACCGGGGCTCAGCCTCGGAGGGCCCCGTCCCCTGCACAGTCCAGGTGGGAGCCCAGGTGAAGGCTGCAGAAGGAGGGGCCCACCTGGGAAGGAAAAGCGGAGAAGAGGGAGCCAGGCTCCTCACACGGGATCTACAGGGGCCCCCACCCCACACAAGGGCCTTTGGGAGTGAAACCTTTCCTAGGTGCGTGCTCTCTGAGCTTTGGGCGCCACTGACAGATGTCTGAGGGACTCTTTCTCCATAAAGCCATCACAAGACTGCTCAGGAAAAAACCTCATTACTTCACTGTGGTGGCCACCGAGTGCCTTAAAAAAGGTAGGCTGATTGGTTGCACCTGCCCGCCATGCCCAACTCCTCTGGGCAAATTTGGGGTGGCAGAGCAGAGCTTCCCAAAACAAGCCACCACTGTTCGTGAGCTCTATGTCCTGAGGCCCCCTCACCGGGCCCAGACCAACCTCACTGCCCCTTAGGACTGCTATCTGGGCCATGGACACCATGGCCCTCCTCCTAGTCCAATCCATCTCTCTCTCCCGGATCCTCAGTTCATTCCATCCCTACTTCTCTCCCGGGGGCTCACTCACCTTGACGCTCTTGGGGTCAAAGGCAGGTTCCTTGGGTGGCTCAGGGGCTGGGGCAGGAGCAGGAGCAGGGGCAGGGGCTGGGGCTGGGGCCTTGGCCGCCTCCTTCTTAGGCTCCGGCTTCTTGGGAGGCATGCTGCCTGGTTGGGCTCTTCGGCCAAGGTGGGACCTAAGGAAGAAGCGAGAGGTGTGGCGCCTGGGAGACAAGACAGGAGCCTGGGCCTCCTCCCTGCGCTTTTATCCTGGGCAGGAGCCCCCACAGAGGGGCTGGGTGAGAGCTAGGGCAACTGCCGCTGGCTATAAAAGGAAGAAACAGCAGCAGGGGACAGCTGACAACTGTGCATTGTCACCGGGTTTGGGGCTCCCAGCCCTCTCCCCCTTCCTCCACCTCCTGCCCACATTCCACAGCCTCCACCTCTGGGACAGGCCTTCCTGCCAATCGGTGGACACCCCCAGGGACCAGGAAAACAGACCCCCTCAAAAATGCCGAGTCCAGCCAAAGAGATGAGCTGACTTGAGCAGTTGATAACCCTCACACAAAGCCCAGGGGAGGGTGAGGCTTTTTTTAGCCCCTCCTGAGCAGAGTCGGCCCACTGCACATTCCTTTTAAGCTGAGATCCTTTAAGCTGAGATGCGCTCTGGGCCCCTGCCTCCGACCTCAACTCTCCAGCCAGGAGCCCTGAAGCAACGGCTGGTCCGGTCAACCCACATGGTGGGGTCCCCTTCTACCCCTCACTGGTATGAAATCTGCCATTTTCCAGGGTAGGCACCCCTTGAATCTAGCCATCACCACCCCCACACACACACCCTCTTGCTGTGTGCCTAGGGGGCCTGAAAGATCTCTGATCGTAGAGCATAATGGCTGGTAGTTGAGAGGTTGGCAGTTCAAACTCACCCAAAGGCTCTGTGGAAGAAAGATCTGGCGATATGCCAAGAAAGCCTCCACGGGGAAAGTCCTGTTCTGTCGCGTGGGGCTGTGACCCCCCAGAGTCAACTCAGCGGCATTTAGCAGCAGTAGGAGCTGGCTGAGAAGCAATGGGCCTGACCAAAAAATCCCCAAACCACATTCACTGTCACTGAGTCGATTCTGACTCACAGCAACCCTATAGGACAAGGGTAGACATGCCCCTGTGGGTTTCCGAGACCGTAGATCCTGACAGGGAGTAGACAGCCTCTTCTTTCTCTAACTGCCGGTCTCCCGGTTAGCAGTTGACCGCATAAACACTACACCACCGGGGTTCCTTTGCGTCAGACAGGCCAGGCCAACTTGGGGTCTGGTTCTTCCTCTACCCCTTACTCATCGCGAGCCCCTGGACTCTGTATGTGACGCTTATTATTTCTGTAGTATCTCATTGAATCGTCCCCACAATCCTAGAAGGTAAGCATTTGTATCACACCCATTTTATACCCAAGATGACTCAGGTCAAGCTGAGAATAGTTCTATCATTACCCTATTTGGGGGGTGGGGGGATCAGACTCTAATGGCCATGAATTTGGGGGTTTGGGGGATGTTGTTTGTCGGTGTGCTGTTCATCAGAAAAGACAAGATGGATCCATGTGAAACTGTTAGCAGCAGCCACCTGGGGACCTAAGGGGGCGAGAGCAGAAGGAGGCAACAACTTTCTTTTTTCACTTCCTGTATTTATGGAAAGTTTTATAACAAGCATGCATTGTTTTTGTGAAAAAAAACGAAAAGAAAAGTTGAATGCCCATATAATGTTCAAGAGAACAACACAAAACTTGTCTTGTTTTGAGCTGACTCTTTCCACTCTGAAATTCAGAGGGTCAAGTCTGTAGGACAGGGTGGGACTGCCCCTCAGGGTTTCCTAGCCTGTAATCTTCATGGGGCAGACTGTCCCATCTTACTCCAATGGGGAAGCTGATAAGCTCTAACCGGGAGACCTTTCAGTTAGCATCCCAGTGTTAAACCACTGTGCTTCCAAAGGGCCTGACCCCCTAGGAAACCCTAGGGGGGGATTCTACTCTATCACATAGAGTCGCTATTGGTAGAAAATTGACTTGAGGCATCTAACAGCAAATGGTGTTAGCCACTGAGTCAGTGCTAATTCACACTGACTTCAACATAACAAAGGATTGACTATGCCATCCTCACAATTGTTGTGTAAGAGCCCACTGTCCCAGCTACTGTGTCAATCCATCTCCTTGATGTTCTTCCGCCCTTTTGCTGACCTGACACTGCACCAAGAATGATGTCATTCTCCAGGGGACTGGTCCCTCCTGATAACATGCCCAAAATAGGTGAGACAGAGTCTCACTAGCCACACTTCTAAGGAGCTTTCTGGTGATACTTCTTCCAAGATAGACTTGTTTGTTCTTCTGGCAGTCCACAGTATTTTCCATATTCTTCCTGAACACCATCATTCAAATGCATCAAGTCTACTGTGGTCTTCCTTATTCGCTGTCCAACTTGCACTTGCCTATGAGGCTATTAAAAATACCGTAGCTTGAGTCAGACTCACATTAGATCTTAGCTCCACTTATCATTGTACTGTCTATTGGTTCTGTTGGGAGGATTTTTGTTTTCTTTACACTGAATTACAACCCATACTGAAGGCTGTGATCTTTGATTTTCACCTGCAAGTGGTTTTTCAAGTCCCCCTCACTTTCAGCAAGCAAATTTGTGTCATCTGCATATCACAGGTTGTTAATAGACCTTCCTCCAATCCCATAGCGTCCAGCTTCTTGGATTATTTGCTCAGCCTATAGACTGAAGACGTATGGTGAGAGGATACAACTCTGACACAAATCTTTCTTGATTTAAAACCACAAAGTATTCCTTTATTCTGTTTGAACTACTGCCTTTTGGCCCCATGTACAGGTTCCACAGGAGTGCAATTAAGTGTTCTGGAATTCTCACTCTTCTCAATGTTATTCATAGTGTGTTATGACCCACACAAGAGAAGCCTTTGCATAGTCAATAAAATACAAGTAAGCATTTCGGCTTTCAACCAAGATCCATCTGATATAAGCAATTGCCACATTCTCTTCTGAAACCAGCTTGAATTTCTGGTAGCTTTCTAGGGATGTACAGTTGCAGCCATTTAAAAATTATCTTCAACAAAATTGTATTTGCATATGCTATCATAATGGCTACTGCTTGGGCTGCTAACTGCAAGGTCAGCAGTTCAAAACCAGCAGCCACGCTAAGTGAGAAAGATGGGGCTTTCTATTCCCAAAGTAACACCCTTAAATTTCAACCACTTAAAGAGGTCTTGTGTAGTAGATTTACCCAATGCAATGTCAGTTGATAATGTCTTAACTGCAGCGTCCGTGAGCTTTGATTGTGGATTTGAGAAAAACAAAATCCTTGACAACTCAATCTTTTCTCCACTTAGCATGTTGTTACCTACTGATACTTCCTACCAAAAAAATAGATAAATAAATCACTGCCATCGAGTAGTTGTCAACCATAGTCACACTATAGGACAGAATAGAACTGCCCCCGTGCATTTCTGAGACTGTAACTCTTTACCAGAGTAGAAACCCCCCTCATTCTCCCTCAGAGTGGCTGGTGGTATCAAACTGCTGATGTTGCCCATCGCAACCGAAGACATAACCGCTATGCCATCAGGGTTCTCCGATGCTTCCTACATCATTCAATATTTTGTACATAGTATCCTGCAATATTTCAACTGAAGGCTTGAGTTTTTTCTTTAGTTCTTTTAGCTTCAAATATGGTAGCCTGGTTTAAAAGTTTAAAGATAACCGTGTGGTGAGCTGCTCACAACAACTAGACTATAAAATGCTCCCTGTTAGTTCCCAATCCAGGTGCCCTGGAGGCCAAGTCTGCCCATTCCCCAGTTCTCCCTGCATAGACGCCATCTCCCAGATGAGCATATTCAGAGGCAAACGGCACCTAAGAGATCCTCTTCTCTGATCACATTGGATAGGTAAGGAAATTACGGTGCCAGGGAGACTTGAGCTGCCTTAAGACAGTCCATTGTTTGGGGCCAAACTGGGCTAACTACTCCTGACTCCCTGTGTGGTGTGCTCCTGTAACACACGCCCTCTCTTTCAGCCCACATGGGCTCCCGCTGCTGGTGGCCAGAGAAGCCTTTGAAGGAAGCTGAGGCAGGAAGAAAGGTCAGAACTTGCCCAAGGGGGGTTCCAGAGCAAGGCCAGAGCCCTGACACAAGGCCAGTCCTTCTGCGTCTGCACTGGGTTAGAAGCTCCTTTCCACCTCTCGGCTTCCCCATGTCTACTGCACCATCTCTTTCTTCTCGCACATTGAACCTGACTCCTTTCCAGCTCCTGCTCCAAACCTCTGCATGTAGCTGTCCATGTGCCCTGCTCGTACCCTCCCCTGACCCATGTCCTTTCCAAGGAGATTGGGTGTTCAGGCTGTGGGTGGTGAAGAAGAGGAAGACCAGCCCCTTCCTCCATCTGGACCCTGACCCATACCTCCCTTCCTTAGATGAAGGGTCCAGCTGGGTTTGCACCCTCCTGGAGGTAGCTGCAGGTCGGAAGGAAGCTGTGGGGAGGGCTTAGGCACTGGCTCGGATGTTGCCAGCCACTTCGTCTCTCCGGCCTCTGCTTGCTTATCTCTGAAATGAGAGATAACCGGGAGTTTTCAAGCTGTGTTCAACGGGATCCGAAGCTCTCCACTGACATGCCCCTGTAAGGACTGTAAGGGGGTCTGATCGGGAGCCTCTCCTCGTTCTTTGGCCCCTTCAATGGGGGCAGCGCTGCTCTGGTGAGATTTAGATACTGGGACTCTGATTGTCTAAGAAATGGTGCCTGGTTCAAACGTTTAAAAATAACCATGGGATAAGATGCTCTCAAATGTCCCCACCCAGTTAAAGGCTGAGGGGAGTGGTGGGGGGTGATGTCTTTCTAGTGTCAAGTACATCCGGGAACAGAGCTACGTGGGACACCAGGCCCTCAGGAAACACAGAAACTGTAATCATTAAAAGGCAGATAACTCTAGGTCTGAATCCCGGTTTGGCCGCAAGTCGTCGGCTGCTAACTGATAACGTCAGCAGGTCAAACCCACCAGCCAATCCAGGAGAGAAAGCACACATGGCAGTCTGCTCCCATCGAGACTCCAGCCCAGGAGAGCCTGTGTGCGTCCGAACGGGCTCGATGGCACAGCGACAAAGCGTGGGCCCCGAGCTACAAAATCATGTCAGTAAAGCCCCACGATCAATCACTGGCACACGGGAGACATTCCTAGACGGCTTTCCCAGTCCAGTGAAGCCGGA